AATCCTGTTTTAGTCATTGCATTCTTTGATACTGGTGCTACTCGTACTATTATCAATCCTAAGATCCTTCCAGCCTCTCAGTGGAAACCTCATCAGGAAATATTCTACACTGCTAATAGTGGACTTTCATTACTCATCTGATCAGCAAACCATTAAAATCTAAATTTTCCAGGCTGTTTACATTTCATAAAGTTCTCGGTTCCGATCTACCTGGCAAAGACAGGTTCTAGGTTTTGATGTTATTCTAAACTCAGTAAACTTAGAATCCTCCCTGATGGTGTTCGTTACAAGATGTTTTTCCAATCCTGGACACCAGCCTAATTTATTCCAGATTGAGGGCAATCCTATTGAGACAGTCAAGAACCAGCTTATTTCCCGTTCTTGCGCAGATTCTCATGCTGATTTTCTCACTAAATGTGCTCATCCATTATGGAAGAATTCGGAATTCTTTATCCGTCTTCCATTCATCAAGAGCGAAGATATCAATCCACTAAAGCTAGTCATTCCGGCATGTCACGGAACATCTCAGTCTCGCCCAACAAGAATGTACTCAGCTTTTATCTCAGGGATTGCTTGAACCCACAGACTCTCAATGGGCATGTGAAGCCTTTTATGTCAATAAACGAGCAGAACAAGCCAGAGGAAAACTCAGACTTGTCATCAATTATCAGCCATTGAATTTCTTTCTCCGTGATGATAAATTTCCTCTGCCTTCCAGAAGTTCTTTTTGCAAATCTCCATAATGCAAAGATGTTTTCAAAATTTGACCTCAAAGCTGGCTTTTGGCAACTGGAATTCATCCTGATGATCGTCATAAGACTGCTTTCTGTATACCAATCACCACTACCAGTGGACAGTCATGCCTTTGGACTAAAAGTCGCTCCTTCCCTGTTTCAGAAAGCCATGACGAAGTTTTTGCTCCCCTTCTGCATACATGTCTCATTTATATCGATGATATCCTTCTCTTTTCAAAAGACGAGGAATCTCATATACGTCTTCTTCGTGACTTTGCTGATATCACACACCTATGGTATCATGCTATCTGAGAAGAAAATGCAATTGGGCAAACAAAGATTGATTTTCTCGGTATGGTGATTGCTGATGGCAAGTATGATCTTCAACCTCATATTGCTAATGAATTGCAAAAATTCCCAGATGTTCTCACAACCAAGAAAGAAATACAACAATTCTTGGGAATTGCCAATTACATGCGCTGTTTCATCCCCAACATTTTCGTTTCACTACTCCACTTTCCCAGATGCTTAAGAAGAATCCTCCAGACTGGTCTGAAAAGCAGAAACAGCAGTCAAGAGTCTCAAGCGCTCATCCTTCCATACATAGCCATTGAAGATCCCTTCTTCGGGGAAACGCATTCTTCAGACGGATGCTAGTGACACTCATTGGGGTGCAGTACTTTTGGAACAAGATGACGACAAGGTACGACATCTGTGCGGATACCAGAGTGGACAATTCAAACCACACCCAGCAGCATTATCATTCTACTTTCAAGGAAGTATTAGCAGTCAAAAATGCCATTGAAAGGTTTGAATTCCACCTTGTTGGACATCATTTCTTTGTTGAAACGGATATGAAGTCTTTTGATCAAATGCTTCGTTTCCATAAGAAAAAGGTTCCACATCAACAGTTACTTCGCTGGGCAGAATGGTTCAGTAAATATTTCTTTCATCGTCCAGCATATCAAAGGCACACCAACACCATTGCAGATTATTTATCCAGACCTAAAACTAAACAAGTTGGTTTCCTGAACCCTAGATCCAAACCTCTTCCATGTTTTATGTTCCAACCATTACCCCAGTCCAGTTCCTGTTCATCATCCTCTTCACCACACCGTCCTCCCGATGTACCTCCTGAATTTGATGACTTGTTCGAACTCGTACCATTGATGAAAATGCTACCCCCCTCTTGTTTTCTTACCAACTTCAATGCATTGAAAAATGTGGTCAATCCATGTATGATATGTTAGGGGCCATCCAGATTACCCTTTTTCAAAAATCTTTTGTTTACCTCCAGGTCTTGATATCATATTTCCAGAAGAATTATTATGGTTCTTTTGGTATATGTTACATCAATACCACATTGCCGTTAATTCCTGATCCATTATATGTTGAAAATAATTTCCCAATACCAGTCAACCTAACCCCTGAATTGCACTCTTTGATGACTTTTCTCCGATGGTTCAAAACCCTCGACAAATGGAAATCTGTGTTTGCTCATCAACTTGCCCGATACAAAGGTCCTAGTCTACCAAAATGGCATGGTCTATAATGTTTTTTCACAGACATCCTCTATCCGATCTGATGGCCTATTTTTTCTCACCATCAAGTCACCTTTCATCGGTCTTATCCATACGATCTTGTCCATAATATGTTTGATCATCCTGTTGAGACTAGATCAATTCAAAAAATCCTTTTTGAAAAAATCAGATCATTCAGATGCACTAGGCCATCCTTTCACGATGATGCTCCGTGGGAACTCTTTCCTCCAGACTACACTGAGAAATTGCTCCACGCCAAACAGACATGCATACGTTCCATCAATGCTCACTCCGATGACAATTCATCTTATCCAGAATGTGGTACCCAGACTCACAGCCAGATATGTGCAGGAAGAAGAGCTTCAGCAGTCTCGTGATTACTATCTCCATAAATCCAGACGACAACAATACATGAATGCACCACGTACATCTGCAACGCCAACGTCTCAGATTCCAGACATTTCTTCGGATACTCATCCAGATACATCTCCCCGACAAATCCCTGCTGACTGGATTCAATCAATGGGTTGTCTTGACTTCCAGGATGAAGAATCGTGGCACGTTACCAACTTGTCAGACGATTAAAGATCTGCGTGTCTTGAAATAAATGTAGTGTCCTTTATGTAAAATAGGAGTGGACTAAATGACAATTTGCTTTTCATTGTAATATCCCCGTAGCCATTGTAAAAAGTCAAGTATTGTAACCTTTTGTTTGTGGTCAACAATTGTAGGCTACTTAATGTAAAAAAAAAAAAAAAAAAAAAAAAAAAAAAAAAAAAAAATCCAAAGTCAAAAAGGTTTGTCTTGTATTTAATGCCTCATTTATGAGGGCTTGTTCCTTTGTATCTATAAATGAAGGTTTTCCCTTCCGGGAGGAGGAGGGAACTTGATTGTAAACTTTGCAAATACTTTTGTTTACTTCTCTCACTTTTCATTTCCAATTTTCTCTACACTTCCATACTTTCTCTACACATCTTTCCTATACTTCTTCCATGTTTCTTTCATATTCTAAGTTTTCTTCAACCTCAAGGGTGATGTAATACTCTGAAAATGTATAGATAGCAAAAGATCCCATATATGTTTTAATTCTTTAACATGTTTAATATTTATGTTTTACTTTATGTTCTTGTTCATGTTCTTCATTTATTTTTACGCTCTCCATTTATGTTGTTGTTTAATATTCACTAACCCTTTTAGATGATGTTAGAATCTGTGTGGGTGTACGTGTGTGTGGGATAAAAGGAGGGCCTTGACCATTTTTAGACCGATCGTTGTGTTGATTGGTTCCGCTTGGGTGGCTATCATAGTTTCCCACATGCATAAACTCCATGATTTTCTGACAGCATCTCTAAGGTCTAGTAACCCCTTCTCGAAGGTAAAAAAGATTAAAAGATAAAGTTAACCTCTATGTTGAAATATTAAAGAAAGAGAGGGCAAACAGAATTTAATTAATTTTAGCTGTCTGTCTTAAGAAAACTCTGCTTAGTGTTGACTTCCAATAATATATATATTTTAAAAAAAATAAAAATACATTATTTTAAACTAAGCTTTTGTTTTTTTTTGGATAAAAGAAAATTTTATAAAGAATAAAATATACAACCTACCTAAACAGGGGATACCTCTTTACATTTAATTTTATCCACAAAAATCATTCATACATCACAAGGATGACATCACCTGGATGAAATCACCTATTTCAATAGTTTCAAAATCTAGGTGCATGATTCCACTTAATTCCCAACCTCAATTATTTGTTACTTTATTTATTTTTATTCTCGAGACCGGATTCAGAGACCCACATACTTTAATGGTGGTACGCCCCCATGCATATGATGTGATGTGAGCATCAAGAATACGAATTTGAAATTTCTATAGAGAAAATGATTTAATCCACCCTTAATTATTGGTCAATTATAATCTAGGTTTAGCATTTGAATATACAATTAAGACCGGATAAATTAATATAAGGAAATTTATTAAATTATCAATATATTATTTAATCTTATAAATTAATAATTTACCAAAACATTCTTTATTTTATTTTTTCAAAACATTGAACTTAGTACATGTATATATTATATATAATTAAGATAAAGCTGAAGACGTTAGTTTTGTACTAAAGGTTGTCACACACCAAAGATATACTAGTTTTGTACTAAAGGTTGTCACACACCAAAGATATACTAGTTTTGTACTAAAGGTTGTCACACACCAAAGATGTACTCAAAGGAACAATTACATTGCATAATTTTCTCTTGCAATACAAGAACATTATACCAAATCTTCTTAATATACTAAGAAAAGTTTGAGATGGGGTCTAAGAAGATATCAATTTTAAGAGGAAACAAGTAACATTAGAGTTATAGTTTATAAAAGTTTTATAATTGAGTCATGTATATATATAATTTTGATGTATAAGGAGACTATTAATTTATATATCAAGTGGTACTAATGTGTTTTTTTAACGTACTATCTTAGAATACAAGCAAATCATTAATTTATCACATTGATCTCAAGGTAGGAATGACCAAAAATATTTTTTAATCAAGGTTTAATTGTATTAAGATTTATTCTCTTGAATTTAACGAACATTTATATAATGATTAACTGAGATCATCTGTACTGTTTATGGACTAAATTACCCTTCATTTTGATATTATTCCAGTTTTTAAAAATTAAAAGTCCAGATTCTGCCCCATTGACCATCTATATTCTTAAAATTTGTTTAACTCAATTTCTATATATAGAGTAACATCAATGTTGAATCTCCATGAAATTTCTCAAAGAAGAGGTGCAGTCAGGATTAACTAATTATGGCTGTTCATCTTAATTTGCATATCATAATTTTGTTAGTCTGGGCAATCAAAGCATCAGCAATTCATTGTCCGACGACTTGTGGTAATGTCAGCGAAATAAGATATCCCTTTGGAATTGGAAAAGGCTGCTACTTCAATGAATGGTTTGCAGTAACTTGTGACAACTCTTCGGGCTCTCCAGTACCTTTCTTCAGTAAAACGAAACTGAAATTAGCAGAAGACATCTCTCGTCGAAGCAACGGGATGGCCATTGGATTGAGCGCTTATGTGAATATATCGGAAGGTTTTAACCTGTCAGGAACGCCGTTTTCCTTTTCACATAAGCTCAATAAGTTCATTTCCAGGGGTTGTAATAATTATACCACGACGTTCGAAAGATATCAAATCAAGTCAACAAATGGGTGTCTGCCTATTTGTACTTGTGATCCTGCTAAAAATCATAATTGCTATGATTTCATGTGCACCGTTTCTTCAAGTCGTCAGTTTTTTTCTGATATAAGCGTTCCCAGGAACTGCAAATCTGCCGTCATGGTTGAGCAAGATTGGCTCAAGACAAACTACCTAGCCACTACCAATCCCAATGTTCTGAATGGAAGGGAACATGTTCCTGTAGTGATGGAATTCGGAAGATACATGGGGAGTTGTGCTGAATCATATTATTATAAATCAAATAAAACACTTTGTAACAAAGATAATTTTTGTCTAACACAATTAGACTCAGGCTATTTTTGTGTCTGCAGTCAGTCAAGAGGAAATCGTGATGAACAAGGCTGCACAGGTACGGATTTAAACCACGAAATGAAGTTAAAGTAATATTAGTCAAATTTAAGGGTTTCATTTCTGCATTTCTTCTATAGGTTTTTTAATTTTTTGGTGATCTTATTTGATATTTTCTCTCTTAATTATCTCTTTTTTGCGTAGGTAACTTGTTCTGTAATATCACAAGCCACAACGATTGCTCCAGTTCCACATGTCCTGATGGCTATGCGTCCAATATTTCTCATAAGGTTGATGGTAAACCCACGTGTTACCCAGCAAAAGCTTTTATGGCTCCCTCGGAAAGTCCCGGGAAGAACAAAGCTATCTCCATAGGTATGCATATCCATCAAAATATTCATCAAAATATTGTTAACGAGTGATCAATAACTTGATTATATGCATATACATATATATGTTCTTGTACTTGAGTTGTGCAGGTTTAAGCGCTGCGTTGGGAACGTTGTCCCTATCCCTTGGAGCGCAGAGTTTGTACAACTTCGTTAAAAGAATGATAGCAAACAAGGTTAAGCAAATATTCTTTAAGAAAAATGGCGGTTCGTTCTTACAACAACGCATGTCTTCCAATAACAGCATCATTGAGAAACCAAAATTCTTTACCGAAAATGAATTGGAGAGGGCAACTGACAGCTACAATGAGTGTCGAATCCTTGGTCAAGGAGGTCAAGGCACTGTGTATAAAGGAATGTTGAAGGAAGGAAGAATTATAGCTGTTAAAAGACTCAAGAAAGTGGCTGAAAGAGTTGATTTATTCATCAACGAGGTGGAAATTTTGTCGCAAATTAAGCATAGGAATGTGGTTCAATTTTTAGGGTGTTGTTTGGACGCTGAATTTCCCCTTTTAGCCTATGAATTCATTCCTAGCGGAACTCTTTTTCAGTATATTCATGACCAAAATCAGGAATTTCCACTCACTTGGGACTTACGCCTACGTATTGCCACAGAAGTTGCAGATGCTCTATCTTATCTACATTCAGCTACTTCTTCTGCACGTATAGATCATCGAGATATTAAGTCATCGAACATACTACTGGATGAAAAATATCGAGCAAAAGTTTCGAACGTTGGGACTTCAAGATCTATTCCAGTTGATGTTTACAGCTTCGGAGTGGTTCTTGCAGAGCTCTTAACTGGACAAGAACCTATTCGTTCAACTGACTCCAAAGAAACAGAAGATTTAGCAGCCTACTTTCTTCCGAAAATGGAACTGGAACGTTTGTTTGAAATCCTTGATGCTCGAGTTTCAAAGGATGACAGAGAACAAGAGATTATGACGTTTGCTAATCTCACAAGAAGATGTCTAGACTCAAATGGGAGTAAGAGACCTACAATGAGAGAAGCGGCAACAGAATTAGCAGGTATTAGAACATCCAACGGAGCTTCAAACCCGAAACAAGATCCTGAAGAGATTGATTGTGTTGAGATTGAGATTACATATGAAGTTGAAATCAGTTCATCGCATACTGAATCGATTTTGGAGAGTATCAATAGCCTTTGCTTTTAAGCAAGTGTGGCACTGTAGCAAAACAATTAATTTGTTTCTGGTTGTATGTATCTTATCCTATGTTGAACGTATTGTGTGCATACAGTTCTATTGTAAGTGTGGCAATGTAACAGAATAATTAATTTGTTTCTGGTTGTATCTTATCCTACGTTGATTGTTAAATGTATTGTGTTAGAAGTTCTACTTGTGTCCTCAAAATATCTTTTAGAAAATAGTTTATCATTATGTAATAGTAATTTGATATTTGAACTTTCCAACTGTTGCTAATTCTGATAGAAATAAAATTAAAAGTCTGAGGAAGAAAATAATGGAGGATCATCGACGCATGAATTTAATTAATTTTTATATTCAATAAGAATGGAAGCATGTGTATATTAGAGAATGATGGGTCAGCTGCCACACAAAAAGAGCAAAACCGAGAGAGCAACACCATTACATGCCCAACAAATCGTAACAGAATTCTCAACAGATTTGATCATGACATGTTGAGCTATACATATGCTTGGGGGCAATATTGTATATTCATTTTTCTGTTTTCTCATGTAAAGATTATTTTATTTCACTTGTATTAATAAGCCACTGTACACCTTTCACAT